ATGCGTCCATATGTTTATGGCGTCTCACCAACGCGGATGGTAGAGCTATCGCTTTAGATAAAGATTTCGCATATTCCAAAGAGATATTAATAAGTAAAAAGGATTTACAAGAAAAAATTAACAGCATAAATGTAAGTGTAAATATAGTTTTTGCATAACTATAGTAATGTAGATTTCAAATCAAATGTCACCGAAGGAATATTAAAATTACTTAATTTTTTATTACTATTTTCAGTTACTGAGCACTAGAATGAGTGAGCTCGAAACTGAGCACACGTACCAGCTCCGGCAAGCCGAAGCTACGCAAGCTGAAAAGCTTAAAGAAGTTCACGAAGGTTACTGCGCCGCCATCGAAGAATTGAAAGAAAAGAATGAAGTACGAAATTCTACCTTTTTCATTATTATTCATGAATGATTTGCTGAAATAATGTACTTGGTTTAATCCAACAATGTGTTCATGTTTCTATAGACAATGGAGAACGAGCATACACATGAAATAGGAATGATTCAACAAGATATAGCAAAACTACGTTCAGGTCACGAGAGGACTCTGCAAACGTTGGAAGCAGACTTTAATGTCAGACTGATCAGCGAATACGACAGATATCAGGTAAAACTATACTCCTTCTTAATACACACAGTTTAAGAAGGTTGTATGTAAATAAAGTACATTTTTATTTCAGAGTCTAGAAGATAAAACAGCTCGTATGAGAAAAGAATACGAATCCCTTTTGGACAAATTGGCCGAAAGTAAACGAGAAGCACTTCGGGAACTCAATGAGATGTTTGAGGCGAAAATTGAAGAAAAGGAACTAGTTTTCCAGGAGGTAAGAACCTGTGTACTATGTGATACAAGTATAGGTTTCAGATCTTGGTAGTACAAAGTGAAAAAATACATATATTTTTAGCTACAAGAACAAGCTGATATGGCAACTAAAGAACACGAGACAATAAAAGCTTCAATAGAAGAAGACGCAGATCGTGAGATCATTGAAATAAGAACAGCTTACGAGGTTCAACTGAAAGAGGAAAAAGACGCTAATGTGAGACTTAAAGGAGAAACTGGTTTGATGAAGAAGAAATTAATTGCAGCGAATAAAGAAATAGAAGAATTTAAACATCAAGTGTCACAATTGAAAGGTACGCTTTATTTGATACGAGCTGTTGCCCGCGACTTCGTACGCGTGGTATTAGAAAACAAACAAACTATAAAAATTACAGAAAGTTACGTATCCCTCGGGAACCGGACATTTCTCGGGGATGAAGCTTATCCCATGTGTACTCCAGACTTTGTTTTATATCTGTGCCAAATTTCATGGAGATCCGTTCAGCCGTTTAGGCTACAAACGCTAACAAACATCCATCCATCCATCCATCTATCCATCCATCCATCCATCCATCCATTCATCCATCTAAACTTTCGCATTTATAATATTAGTGAGATTAGTGAGATTTCTACATCTAATAGATTTCCTGTATTTACATAATATATTTTAATTAAAGCTGAACATAAACAGTTCCAAAAAGTTATTTCAACATTGGAGCGTGAAGTAGCCGATTTAAAGAAAGAAATATGTGAAAGAGATGGCACTATTCAAGATAAAGAGAAGAGAATATACGAGTTGAAGAGAAAGAAACAAGAACTGGAGAAGTATAAATTCGTTTTGAATTTCAAAATAACGGAACTCAAGAACCAGGTAATTTAAGTTTACTTTTGTCGTAACACAAACATTAAAATGTTTTTCTATCTCTTGCAAGCCTCTCCTGAGTAAAAAACTTACTCACAACTTTTTAAAACAGCATTTATATATTGGTTCTCGAAATAAATATTTCTCTTTAATTTGATTCCTATTGACTACTTCGAAACCTATTTGGACTATCTATAATGACAGTCCCTAAAATTATCTGAAGTTCATAATTTTGTAAATAGATTGAGCCTAAACAGAAGACTATTCAAGAGTTGAAAGTGCAAATAGACGATATGGAGAATGAAGAGTTGAAATTGTTAAACATTAAACATGACCTCGGTATGCTGGCACAGCATTATAGCTTGATATTTGTAGACCGTAGTCTTCTATCATTGCAATAAAAAAAGTTACAGCTGGTTGTATGTCAGGTATATAATATAACCTATAAATGGAAGCTAATTTTTTAATTATTGTCTAATACAGATTGAGCCATTAGATCGTGAAATTAAAGAGAGAAAAATGCGCATACTCGAGTTGGAAGTATCGCTTGAAAATTTGCTAAAGCAAAAAGCCCGCCGCGGTAATCATTGGCAAAATTCGATACACAGTTGTAATTTTTTTCACCATTGTCTTTGAAGCATTGTAGATGTGTTATAGAGTAGTGTTAATATTAGCAAGGTGTTGTTAACTTGTCCACGAATCATGATCACCTCACGTGTAGTGCTAATTATTTTTCCATTAGATAAAGCAATCTACACATTTATTGTACACTGTCATGGTTGAAGTACTTTAAAGTTTGTAATAATCCTTTTAGTTCCTTTTAGAATTATTTTTTTACTAGAATATTATCTTTTGGTTTACTTTATGTTTAAAAATTAAGTATGCTATAATTAAGTATTGTTACGTCCTGAAGCATGATTTGCGGTTTTGATCGGCTCAGTATGCAGTTAAAAATATTTCTCGTAGTAGACTCTCTATGGATCCTAGGTCGTTTACCAATAGTATTACAAACAGTCCCAAAGTTTTGAACTAATGTTAACCACCGCGAAGAAAATTTACAAAATGCCTCCTTTTAGAACAGCCAATGTAAATATTTTACGGTAATTAAGGCATGTTAAAAGCACTTAAAACACTTGTATAATTTAAGGATTACTAGTATCCACGTTTATTTAATTTTTGTTTCTTTACAGAGCTTAATATCAATCAGCTAAACGAAAAATTAGCGTCCGCGAAAAAGGATTATTTAGCTGAAGCGAACAGAAACTTGACGTTTAAGAATACGTTGAAGAAAATAAAAATCGACCTTCACAATATGTCGGCGAACCTGCAAGATCCGACGAAACTAAAGTCGAGCGTTAAGGTAATTAACGATGTAGATATATGATTAACATGTTAATTAAGTCGAGTAACATTATTTTACCTACCGCTTTATAATCATCGACATTCCAATGACTGCATTAATGATAAGTAAGTACTAAGATTGTTTACAGTGGAAATATTATTATCTTAAGAGATGAGTTTGATTGTAGAGAGATTTGAATTCAAACTGTGTTTTCTTTAACGATGTATTTATTCGATTCCAGGCACTCTTCCATAAGTACGTAGAAGATGAGGACTTCATCCGCGGCCGTGCGGCGGAGGACGAGGCTGTGAGGGAGTTCAACCGGCAGCGAGACCATCTCGAAAAGCAGATCGCGGCACTCAAAACCAACCTCGCCAAATCGCTCGGCGGATCGAAGAGTGACATCACTAAGATTATGGATGTAAAGTCTAGTGCAACCATATATTTCTTCGTCTTCTTATCTATGAGTTATTTCGTAAACAAAGTACAGTCGGGGAAACCGGCAGTGTTCCACCTTAAAACCAACAATCATTTGAACATTTTGAAGCAAGTCGCGGAACAAAAACTAATACAACGCAGCTTGTAAATGTTTCTGTACGAACAAAAGTCGGTTAGTGATACACGGATAGTTTTTATTATTATCCCATCGCTTGCACCACTCACTGTTAATTAGTTATATTTAGGAAGAAGCACTGTTTCCCTCATTGTATTGAATAAGGCAATCTATACCAATGTTATAAAGTGGAAACATTTGAATTTTTGTATGTATTGAAATAACTCATAAACTACTAGGGCGATTACAAAATTTTTTTCGCCATTAAAAAGCTATGTTATCAGTAAATAATATAGGCTACATTTTTTAATTCTTTTTATTTTCACGAGGACGAATTTGCGAGCAAGAGCTAGTTTTCCTAAAGTGGAACATCGCAGATTACACCGACTGTACTTCAATATCCAGTCTTTACTACAGTAATTATCCACGCTATCATTGTATAGGAAAACTGCACACTGTTGACTGAGATCAACAACTTGCGTACGGAGTTGAAGTCGACGCGTACCCGCTGTTTCCAAATGGAATCGATCCTGGGACTGTCGGCGCGGTACATTCCGCCTGCAGCCGCGCGCGCTAAGCTCAAACAGGTTACAGAGGACAGAGAGAAACTTGATGAGAAATTCAAACAGAAGATAGATGTAAGTTTCAACGTTAACAGAACATAAAGACCTTGCTCCGTATAACTTTGAAGTCACATTTACTGTACTGAACGATTCTCTAAAAGGAAGAAATGCCGTAAAAGGTTTCTATCAAAGCGTTAAAATAAGTATCAGAGATCTTTTTCAAGGAAAATCTTAAATTAGGAGTATTGTTTATTCGTGTTAATATTTTCCGTCTCGTTTTTCAGGAAAGAGAAGAAATAATTGTAGCATTGAAGGAAGAAAATGACCGCTTGCTTGCAAAGTTCCAGTGCCCTGAAGAGTACGGCGGAAAACCCTCCATCCATCCAAATCCATCAGAGTTCAATCACTGATCGGATATGGGATTGTATTTTGTCTTTGTCTAATAATTTGATTTATAATTTTCCTATTTTAAATATTAGATAGATGATTTTTGACTCAGATTTTTTTATCAAATACTTAGTACGTTCTAAATATGTAATTAATACCCAGATTACATTCTTTCTAATGTTTTAAATATATGCTACGGTGTAAATATGAACGGGAAACACAAAATAAAACAATGTAATAATAAAAAATATTTTTAATAAATGCTTCAATAGAATAATAACTAAAATAAAGGAAATTAAAATAAATTTTATCCCATTTAAACTGTCCTTTGCAACGAACGAGAGACCAACCCGTAGACCTTTGACGATAAGTAGCCTTCACCAAACAGTTTACATAAATAATTTTAAAGCATCATTTACTTAAAAAACGAGAAATAATTTTAACATATTGATCTTCATTAAAAAAACTTAATCAGCAACTTTTTTTAATTCTAATTGCGTTGTCATTGCACTACAATAAACTATGTCAATTTAGTTGCAAGATTTAGAGAACGAAAGGCAAGATGGCTTTACGTCCCTTGGGGTAGTCGGGGAACTCCTTCTTGTAGTTGCGGTGCTTGTTGATAGCCCACACTGACATCTGGTACATGCCTACTGCAGCAAATATACCCACTGAAAATAATGATTCATTGTCAGCTACAAAGCATTATTGGCCATAGACAGCTATGGTTGCACTAAGTTTTCTGTGTTACCATAATAAAATTATAACACATAAATATATTTAAACACACTTCTTTACATCATTTTAATTTTAGTTTTAACATAAATATAGAAAACGTAAATATGTTTTATGTAATAATGGCAAATTATTAATATACCTTTTACATAGAAACATAAAAAACAGTAAAAATCGATTTGTGATAAATCATTGAGCAAATATTTTCATAAAGATGATAACCTTCAAATAATATGTACAACAAACGTAACTGGAATATAATTTAACCTTAAAAAAAATTACCAAGGTCAAATTTAATTTGATTTGAATCTTATTAAAATTTAAAGTTACATATTACTCATATTAGTAAAATTTTAAACTCTTAATGGAAATATTTAAATTATACATTTACAGACAATAAAAAAATAAGCCAGACAACTGTTATTGCAGATGTCTCTGGACAGTTCAGACAGAAAATTCAGATGGCCACTTGCTCATTTACCACCTAATTGTATTTAAAAAAATGGAATAAAAAAGTTAAATCATTAATATTTACCTGGAGCACATTTCGTCAAGATGGTGAAAAACACCCAAGCGCCAAACTCATAAGTATAATTAGGGCAGGACACATAATTCAAAAGCAGTGAGAATGGGTTTCCGTCAGGCATAGGGATGCGCCTCACTTTGGTACCGGGAGGACGGAGGTTCTTTAACAGCAAGTGAATGCTCAGATTACCCAATTCACATAACTGGAAAATAAAACATAGTTATTTTAGACCTTGATCAAGTATATCATCATCATCACCAGCCCACTGAATGTCTCAAGGGGCTCGGAGCCTACCATAAGTTAGAGTGAATAGGCCATAGTCAACCATGCTGGCCCAATGCGGGTTGGTAGACTATAGACATATCTCTGAACTTCTTCGCTGATATGTACAAGTTGCATCATGATGTTTTCCTTCACCGTAAGAACGTTGGGTCGAACGAAAAATATAACATTTTCTTTAATGTAATAAAAATTGACAGTAGAAGCTTTACCAATCCAAGATTATATATTCTCAGTTAAGTCATAATATGAAAGGCACAAGTCTATAATAATTTTGGTGTGACTAGGCCCTAGTCATACGGGCTTAATGAATTAGTTGACTTTATACTTTGAATGTCATCACAGTTTCTTTTCACACATAACAATTACACAGAATCACTATCAAACATGTTTTTGTGTAACACTACTTAAAAATGAAACAAGTTTTAAAAACAAGAATAAAGAATTATTACCAACTTTGAAAGGTGTAAGGTTATGAGTAAATAAACTGGAATTATTCATGTGCAATTCAATGGTAATTATTATGTTAACCAGATTAGTTCTTGAACCAACTTTAAAACAGTTATATTTTTACTACAGAAAATATGGCCCTTTTGATTAGTTTCTAAATGTAAAAACTGTTGTTATAGCATGGCTAAAATATTATGACAATAGTATTTATATTATACAATTTTACTAACACAACAAATGAGAAAGTTTAAATGGATGGATGGATGTTTCTTACAGTGACTCCAGATACACTCAATGCATTTAATTGAAATTTTGCTTAGACGTAGGATATTGTCTGGACAACATAGGCTACTAATTAGGTTTTTTAAGTAACACACAGACATAATCATGAGCAACTACTAGTATCAGTATAATTTCAATTTTTTACAATATTGTGTTGTATATTAAATTATTAAACTGTATTAAATTTATATTACCATCATATAAATGTCGCTTTCCAGCAAAATTAATGTCACGTACGTAATTACAGTTACGTAATTTTAATGTTAGTGTTTAATACTTTGATAAATATAAAATGGTACTTACAATGAACCCTGCAAGACCGACGTACACACAAACATTGCAGGGTGCAGTGAAGAGTGGATGATTAACATGGTAAGCGATGTAGAGAGCAAACAGCCAATAATATGTGCAGTTCTTGAATAAGTTCCGAATCGGCATAGTGCCATGTGAGAAACGGTGCACAAAAACTGTCTCCAGCAGTCTTTTAGCATAGTGGAAACTCCAGCACAGCGCTGCTATACTGAAATAATCATATACCATATTTAAATAAAAGCAATTATTAATGTATACTTGAACATCAAGCACAGGTTACTACTTAAAAAAATTCATTTATATCCATAACCAAAGGTAAGATTTTGTAGAAAGAATTGGTGTTCTTTATAAAAGAATCTTTTACTCTCTATTTGCAAAGTACAGCTTAAAAAAAAACAATATATTGTCATGTATAGCAAGTAGGTTACTTTTATGATAGAGTACATACTTAACAACAGTTCCTGGTGACGATGTTTGATCCCCATACAAGATCCATGGTCTTTGATAAACCCACAGATAAACAAACAATGGACCAGCATATTCAGCTAAAAATACATTTTTATATGATATTTGTGGCCCAAGATCTGATACATAGAGCTTAGACCCATCTTGGATGTTTAGAGATTTTAGAGTAGTTTCATCCTTAAGTGACTTTCCTTTAGCTTCGGGTTTGATGGCTTGCCTTTCAGGGTAAAGGGATTTTTTAAGGTTTTGATAAATTTTTTCTTTTACATTTTTTACAGTGGCGTCTTCATTCAAAGTAATTTTGCCAAGAGACTTTGACCCCGCAGTGGTCAATATTTCAATCTGTAAAACGTCCTCAATTAGTTTTTTAATGGCATTTTTATAGTTTGACATAAAATAAAACACTTACCTCCATCTTCGATTTAAATCGGCGTTTTTTGTTTAAGTAATAAGGATTTTAATTTGTTGTTTTGTCGTTTCTACAATAAACACGACAGAAACGATCAAAGACTGCTTGGATTGTGAATATATGAATAATTTAAAGTAAATTCCGGCTTAACCAACTTAGACTTTGAACAACACAACAGCCTTCATCTTTTTGACAACTGATGATTGACTGATTGGTTTTGGATTTTATTACATTGCACTTTGTTTTTCATTTCATTTAAGCTACTTATTTCCTGGAAATAATAAAAAAATGTTACACTGAATTCCACGAATTTAATTAAAAAAATCTGTAGCAGTGTTTTGTTCAATTTATTTAATTATTGTTTTTTTTAAATGAAAATGACAACTTTAAAATGAACGCAGTTTTTGCGAGAGGCGAAAAATGTTTGGTTGGTACTTTTTGTTTGTCATATTCTAAAACCATTTTCCACCAAACCAATAACCGCGCGCGACCATACATCATTATTCTATGGTTTTTTCTCAAAGGTTTCCATTAGAAAGAATACTAAACTATTAAGTAAAACTGAAAGTATTACTGCTGAAAGGTCTTCACAGAAAGTTTGTTTTGTTATTCACAATGTAAAAGAGAGAGATGATAATTTACGCCGTAGGACAGTCACATTTACGTAAATTGCCGCTGCCTTGACAAAAACAATGTGAATCGGGCGACACATTACTTGGTGGAAATGTAGTCTTCAGATGTTATTCGATCTGTATGTACTGTCATATTATTAACACAGTTGTGTATGTGTAGTGATTAAATGGCGATTCGTGGTTACATTGGAATTTCATAATAGATATCGCTGTACAGGAATTGATTTGCAAAAAACAGTGTTTACACAAATAAAAAGTAAAAATGCGTTCTGTCGTAGAAATAGGGGCTAGTGTCCCTGCATTCTTAGGAAAATTATGGAAATTGGTTAATGATTCAGAAACGAATAATTTGATTTCATGGAGCCCTGTAAGTGTATAAGTTTCCTTTTACAGTGTTATTTAATGTCACTATCAAATAACACGTCTGATGAAATGTGATGCAACGAACTTCAATGGAAAATAACCATAACACAACCTAAAAATTGTATGCATATTTAAGACGCAGCTGATTGTCTGCTGCGAAACTTGATAAATAAATAGTTACATGTCACGTTTTCTACCACGCAGGTTCTCGCCCGAACATTTGTTAAGGCGAAGCACAACGGACATAAAAAAATAAAACTGTATTAAATTGTAGTAATCTTTATAAAATTAATACTTAGTATAAAATTACAATAAGATAATTAAAATTTATATTAATGTTTATTTGCAAAAGTAAAATAAAATCGATTGTTGTTTATACAATTAATAGATAATATGGTTTTACTTATTTTTAAGCAAATTAAAACAAATTTAGTAATAACATTTTAAAAGTGAAAGGAACTATTTTAACATATGTTGATATATAGCAAAAGATAGAATGTAAAAAAGCTAAATGCAGTAATAGTAATATAATTAACTTTTTTTAAGGGTGGAAAAACATTTGTAATAAAAAATCAAGCTGATTTTGCAAGAGAACTACTCCCTTTATATTACAAGCACAACAATATGGCCAGCTTTATAAGGCAGTTAAATATGTATGGCTTTCATAAGATAACATCTGTTGAAAATGGTGGATTAAGATATGAAAAGGATGAAATAGAATTTTCCCATCCATGTTTTATGAGGGGTCATGCTTATTTATTAGAACATATAAAGAGGAAAATTGCAAATCCAAAGTCGATTGTTGCAAGCAATGAGAGTGGTGAAAAAATTCTGCTCAAACCGGAGCTTATGAATAAAGTATTGGCAGATGTAAAACAAATGAAAGGAAAACAGGAAAGTCTTGATGCTAAATTCAGTGCAATGAAGCAAGAGAATGAAGCATTATGGAGAGAGGTAGCAATTTTAAGGCAAAAACATATCAAACAGCAACAAATTGTTAATAATGTATGTCTTTTAATAATCTTATAATATCCTTTTATTTTTAGGGTTTATACTAATTTTGTGAAATAATTTCAGCTTATACAATTTCTGATGTCATTGGTACAACCAACAAGGGCACCAAATGCTAATGGAAATAATGTTGGTGTGAAGAGGCCTTTCCAATTGATGATCAATAATGCAGCATATGTTGCCACAAGTGATGGCCCTTACTCAAGTAGAGCTAAAAACATTAAACTAGATAAAGAAGTTCCTTTAGAAGATATCAATGAAGATAACTTGGTGTGTTATTTTACTTGGTTTAAATCAGAGTTCCCCAAACTTTTTTTGTATGTAGATGCTTTCCATGTTGGGTAGACCCCCTACTTACCTGATATTTATTTCCTGTAAATTTCTAACTATAGGGATGTTTAGTGTTGAAAAATTTAAGTAAAAACACATTTTATAAACATGTATAATAATTTTTTACTTTTGTAAATAATGTATGTGTTTTGATATTTTAAGATAGTATGATGTAAGTAAATAGGTACTATCAGTGTACATGTTGAGATCTACTATCATGGACCCCCATTTTCATTTCATGGACCCCTAAATTCCTTTTTCGCTGATGTAGGCCCCTTGCCTTGCTTGTAGGTTGTCATAGACCCCTAGGGGTTGATATAGACCACTTTGGGAATCACTGGTTTAAATGTTAAATAGATTATCTTGTTTATGTAACAATTATTCACTATTTTCTTTTAAATTATAGGAAGATGGGCCGACAATACATGAATTAGCTCATGATGATGTGTTACATAATGAAGCCTCACAGGATTCCTTAGACCCATCCAATTTTGTGACCGTTGATATTGCAGCTAATCCTGAAATGTTTGTGGGGAACACTGCTGACCCCTCATCTGCAATACAGTACCATGTTACAATGGCAGATGGTGATGAAGCAGAGACAGGTAATTATCAATTGTGTAAGCATTTAATTACATTTTTCAATGAATTTGTACCTAGATTATTGAGAAATTGTTCAAATTGCAATATTATTAAAATTTACTTTGCTTTACTTTTAAAATTTACTTGCATTTTTTTAACAGTTTTGTTGACTACTTTAGGGTTTTCTCCAAGCAAATTATTGTTAAAGAATAAATTGCTGAATCTATTTAAAACATTCAAAATTTCTTAAATGGTACACTATTTATGATAATTTTGGCTTTTAGATTGGAAGCTGTCATATCCTACTAATCGAAAAAAGAATGTGAGAACAAGAGTAAATAATCCTGTACCAGTTGTGACATCACCGTCACCTATGATGGCATCACCTTCTCCTATGACACCGTCCCCAACATCTCCAATCTCACAGAACACTCTTGAACAACCAATTAACATAGCTACCATGACAACACCCGGCACCTCAAAACCAAAAGATAAGGGATCCAAAAAAGATGTTATACCAAGTGGGAAACATCTTCTCCCCTCAAGTAATTACAATGCAATGAACAATTCAGCCGATTTCAAATTGCCAGCTGAAATATTTGCAAGTGATGATTCAGTTAGTGATGCGGGAGTCACTCCGACTGATGAATTTGGTATTAGGAACATAATCCAAGAAACAGTGAAACCGGAACCAGCTATCTCTATGTCCAAAGATGAAATGCTCGGCGGAGTGAATATTAAAGTTGAAAAATTCTTAGATAACACAAAACCATTAAAGAAAACAAAGAAATCAAAGAATAATGAACCTAGTGATGTGAATTTAGCTGACATAAAGACTGAATTACAGGATTATTTTGATTGGAACAACATGACACTAGCTACAGTTAACAACAGTAGTAATGTCAACAGGTTCCAGTCTATGTAAGTACTTATTGTTAAACCTACATTTTTATACCCTTTGTCAACATTACTTCTATTCCATATTACACATATTAAAAATGTGCAGATTTTTACTATATGTTAATTCCCTCAAGAATTTAAATCTGTGTTTTTCAATATCTATTTTTAATTTCAATATTCAGGTATAGAAGAGATAACATGGCCAAAAATCAAGATGAATTTTCTTCCTTTGGATCCAATTCAAACAAGTATGTGATATGTCAAATAATGCAAGTCGTTGCTATTAAAGCAAATATTAACAACCATGTTTATGGGTTTATTATTCATTCAATGTTGTATTTTGCAGACAGTGTGTGCTGTCTATACTAAAACACTTTATTAGTTTTATTAAAAATTAATTTAGGAAACTTTCTCAATATGTTGTTAGCAATATTTTTTTATTATTTGATTTTCATTGGGTATTTGAACCATTTTTATTCTAGTAATTATAAAATAAGTTCATGATAACTAAGTTCATTGTATGTATTGTATTTATGTAATATCTATTATTTATTTTTTCTCTGAATTGATTATTATATGTTTTACAATTTTTTAATGTTTAAATGATACATTGATACTCAACAAAATACCAATAAATAGTGAAAATAAATACAATGTTCTATACATTTTTAATACAGACAACTACGAATTTATTAATAATAAACATATGTTTCCAGGAATGACATAGATGACCATTTGGACACAATGCAAACTGACTTGGATTCATTAAGAGAACTTCTAAGAAGTGACAGCTACTCCTTAGACACAAACACTCTATTAGGGGTATGTTAAATATTTAATTTGGTATTTGTACCTATAATTTATTAATTTTATTTTAATGTTACTGTGCATTTAATGTTGTGTAAACGATTTTGAAAAACATATGGTGAGTATTTCGCGCCCTAAATTCGAATGTTGTGCGTCAGTGTGTGTGAGCCTTTGTAACGCACACAGGCGCGGTGTCGCGTCGCTATACGGTATCGCGGCGTGCGGTTGGCAGCACTGCGCGAGGTCACGTTGCATTCAACGTGCTGGCCGCGCGTGTTAGACCTTGTGCTTTTACTGTAACATTTTGTACTCGCGCGGCGACAGCCGACCGACGACTCGGCCACGTAATGCCGGCTTTTTTCTAATTACCGTTGATAACGATTTCTCTCTGTCTAGTTGTATTATGTATTCGTACGACTAAATGATTGAGAAATAATCGATGCTGTTTCATATGTCGGGAATTTTATTATTTTAATTAGTATGTTACAATTTAACTTCTGTATTGTCCATAGAATGCTGATGCAGGCGTACAACCTGCGATGTCTCTCGTCATTCCTTTCCATCAACACACCATGAATGACTATGTAATTTCTTGAAATAAATGCAAATTAATTAAATTTACATAATATATAAATTAAATGCTATATGATATTGATTTTATAATTAAATTTTAAAACGTCGTGCATATTGCAAATAATTTAAATAAATATGCACTAACAATAGACAAAATGTTTATTACGTGAGAAAAGTTTTGAATGCTTAATCAGCCCCTTGTAGTTCGATAGTCTGGTGAATTACATAAAACTTACTTCAACGTAAGGATATCTACAATATCCATATTATTAAATTATCAAATGTATATGGGGTGCGTACAATTATAGTAGTCGATTCTTGCTGTAGATTTGAAATATATTTACAACTGAATATAAATTATAGTTCAAATAATGTTTCCAGTTGTTTGGCTCCGAGGATCCTTTCTATGGGCTGTCATTTAATCCGAGCGATGAGAGAGCAAAGACAAGCAATAATGGTGAGTTACAAATAAAATCTCTTATTTAACCAGCATTTTATGATGTAATGCATTCTTATTTATGGTTTGCATTATTTAAAACTTATTGGTATTTAAATTTGAACATATAAAGGTATACCGTGGATTTTTGGGTACAGCTTATAAGGTAACAAATAAAAGAAGAATTATAGGGAACTAACGGCAGAATGTTGAAACGAATCTTAAACAATTCGTAAGTACCGTTTAAAATATCTGTCAGATATAAATAATCTGTCGAACGTTAAAATTTTAATGGAATATGTTTCAAGATGCTGTTTATTTAAATGTCGTTTCATTATTCTGCCGTAACAGTTATGCAAGTGATATTTTACGTTTATATTAATTGTAGATACAACAAAACAGTATCCGATGATTGATTATGATTGGCTGATCAGTGGCGGCGATAAGACGCCCGCGTAGAACTACAACTTCATTGCAACATTGTATACATCGACTATTGTTTAATTATGGATTGTTTGGTAAAGGGTTGGATGACGTCATTTGTCTATGATAGTGTTGATATTTAAAAATAATTTGGAACTTTTTTAATTTTAAGAAGTTAATAAGATCGATATTAAGATTGCATATACCTGAGTAACAGCTTGTTACAAAATTTACTTATATGAATCTAACTAGAATGTGTAGAAACTATGTGAACTCACTATGTTATTGTGCACGCATAGTATGAAGGTTTTAGCTTCGAATCTAAGACTACAGATTTAGATCTAAGAAGGTACTTTTAAGTTAGTTATATTTTCAATACAACCACAGAACAAAATTATTTGTTTAATTTAAGATTATTTTAATGAGTTGGGCAACACTGGAGTAAACTCACAATTAATAACACATTAGATATATCTTCTATTCTTATTTATGTTTTAAATTAAACGGTTTTTGTTGAAATATTAATACAACGGAGAGAGTTGAAGAAATGTTACTTTTTTCATCAGATGGGACGATTATTTATAATATTCATGTTAATTATAATATACTTTAAACATTACTAATCCTGTGAAATATATTTTTATGTAATGAAGCAAAGAAGAAAGGAGATATGTCAAATGTAGTCGGCGGAGAAAGTCGCGCCCAGAGCCACTGTTCTGAGGACGATGGTACTCATTCTGATTTTAATCCAGTCGTTTATATTGACGCCTTTAGTTTGTATTAGTGTAGTGAATATTCGCACTCATAGTTGTGAGTCCCTTACTGTAGTTTCTCATACTAAGTGACGACGATTTTGTGAGAAGCAGTAATTTCGCATGATATTGACATATTTGCCTATTTTTGTATGTATTTTATGTGGCTTTCTTTAAATATTATTAATATATTTTGCAAATTACTTGAGAAATATGAGTTTCTGTATATTATATTATTGGTATAGATGCAGTATATGTCTATGGAGTAATAGATACCTTTTGCCTAAAAAATATTGCCTTTTTGTACAATAAATCTAACTTTAAATAACCTATTTGTTGTTTTAAAATCTAGTAATGATTTGTTGCTAACATCTAGTAATTATATTTTGTCACTAATTAGAAAGCTACATAAATAATAATAAATCAGATATATTGCTTAGTAATTAAAATTTGGATGTAATGGGTATGTATTATTTGTTTTTATGAAAGTTATTTTAGCAAATGATTTTTGAAAATGCATGAAGCACGATTTTTAATTATGGTCGAATTGGTTTTTATAGTAATTACTTAAAGGTTCGAGTTTGCCGGAAACTGTTTGGCTTATACATTTAATTTAGAACCCACGCTTGTCAAGGTAAGGGTAATGATTTGAAGCTTAGTGTATTGTCCGCTATCCGAAGTAACATATGTGAAACCATGTCAAGTAATTTATGAGCCTTTTAGGACCACTAGTAAAAATAGGTTTGTCTAACGGCAGTTATGGGATATATGACCCCATGTAACTTCCCCTTATAAAATCCCCATAAGATACAAATATTTTCGTTAAATGAGTCGAATTATAATTGGTTTAAATAATGTTAGTTGTCATTTTTTTTTAATTTCAATTGCATCAAGCTTTATTGGATATCAATGTACATTTGAAGACTATGTTTTTTTTTAAATATGCTCTGTTTTGGTATTAGAAATGTATTTTAGCGTGAATATGTGTCCTACTGTTTGTAAGTTGCTATGATCAATTAATATTTATATCTCGCCAGCACAATCGTCATTTTTAATACGATCACTAACTTTTGGGAAACTTTCAGCTGAAGGGTATCAGCTTATGTCGTATACAGGGAATATTCCGTATCTAGAAGATATAAATCTCCCCGAGTTGGAGGGGGAGAATTCTCAGGAGACGCCGGTGGTGCCGAGCCCCGGCTCCTCGCTGCATACGCCGCGCCTCGACCTCCCGCACTCGCCGGCACCCTGAGGCACCGCTAACAAACGCAGGAAAAAGCGCAAGTGACTCTCAACTTTAAGTGTATTTAAAGTGACTTCTAGGATACTAGGTGTTGATTTATAATTTATATTGTGTTTATAGAAATATATAGACTAGGCATAGTGAACTAAATTTTTTTAACCGGTAATTACTTTATCAAGTAATGTCAGTTGTCAAGTTTAGTACGCCATCTCGTGTCTTGTATTGACTATTTATAAATTTGTAATAAGCTCCATCTTTTGTCGTAAAATAAAACTTCAACAATTTCATAATAAAAATGCTTGCTCTATATATCTTTTGAATTTCTTTGGTTATAGACAAATTGGTATTATAAACCGAAACGAAAATTGTGATTGAAGTTAGTATTTCGTGTATTTGAATTAGCTATAATTCAATCTAACTTACATTGTAAAGCTTCATTGCTTGCGAACAATAGCTGAGTAGCCGCCACAAACTTATTACAAAGAAAGTCTTGTTATTGTGCACTATTTGATAACATCCCATACTCTTTACAACAATGTCGCTAAAGGCCTATTCAACGAAAAGTGTTCTCTTTTCATTGAATGTCCAGTAGACATTCCAGTCCAGTGGCATACCGTCACTGGATTGCAACCAAAGATGTTAACCTGATCATTTCAGTGAGTTCATTTTTTCTATTTTCAGTATTGGATTTAATTTTGGACTGAAAAATGTGAACTTGGTTTTGTCTTTTGTGCCAGATATTATAATTATCATTTTTTACTTGGTTTTATGTAGGTACAGAACATGGTATTATCATGATATATTTTATCATGCTGCCAATTGTCAAACCGCAATTTCCCATATGACAGTTTTGCTGGTACAAAATTGTACAAAGTTTTTATTTCAAATCAACTATTGTAGTAACTCAAACTAATAATAATAATGAATAGATTTAAACTTAATAAATTGCTTGTGAACGCAAATACTTACAATTTTCGAGATGTTTAACTAAAAAAAAGTAGAGATAACTTATTTGTAGATGTTTCGGTGGGAACCCAAAAATTAATAAATTCGTGAACTAATTAATTTGTTTTAGACTTATAACAGAACAGTATGTATATAACATTTTTATATCAATAAAATTACCGAATGACGATCTTGTATAAGGCCACCCACAAATATGCTTGTTATATAAAAACTATTTAATTGCAGACAGGATTTAGTATATACAGATTATATAAGATATTACTGGTGCCTTATATACAATATTAGATTTAAAAAAAAAACTCCTAATAACGATTATGGGATTATAAAAGTTTTTTTACTAGACCTTTCGCAGCAAAACAAAGAATAATTGGTCCTATTATATAAAAAAGATTATCTCAATTTTTCCGTTAGTAATTTCTTTAAAGAACAATTAAACTGACTGATGGTATGAAAGGCTAACGGTGATGGATGTAAAAGATTTTATTTCTATAGTATAATAAAATTATTTTTGTTACGAGACTTAATAAGTCTACATACGCGAATTATGTACATACATATGTATAATCTGTTTTTTTTTTTATATATTTGTAATTATAAGTGTAAAGATTTACTATAAGGAGGTGTAAACTATTCTCAATTATTAAAGGTGCTTTTACACTGTAATATCAGTGAAAATGTACCTTAAGATATTTTAAAATACAATTTATGTGATAGTACCGCCGCAGAGCATTTTTATTATTAATGTTTTATTAAAGAGTTACACAGCTTGCTATATAGACATCGACATTTCAATGTTTAAAATCAAAATTAAATTTCGCAATGCTTATTAAATATTGCTTGTGTTTCAAGAGCAAGAAAGAGATGGATAATAATTGTCCAGTTGTAATGACAGTTGAATTCACAATATCACTTGAAATTATAAAATTGTTTGTACTTTTTCATGCGTAGTCATTTTTTACTATCGTTACTTAGATGCGATTACTAGAGTGCTGATAAATGTGACTTAGATATCTTATAAGGAAATAGTGTGGTTTGAAAAATACGATGTACAGGCGTTTACCATTCTCAGTGTTAATAACAATGAGAATTGCAAAATATTAGGAATTAGATTCATATGAGGGTTATTTTTATTTTGCCCGTACCTATGAACTGTTAAATATACAAAATAGTATATAAAAAAATAGTAATACAAAAATTTTGGATGTGAAGCTCTCATTTAGATCTTGTTTTCAGTCCAATAGTTTTTTGTTTTATTTATGTGTAATTTTTTTAACTTGTACAAATTTTTACATATATTTTAGTATTCTTAAATCGCTATAAACATACAGACTGACATTACCATCCTAAAATTATGATACCTACGTATCATACCTATATACATACATATACCTACGTAAATTATTTTGAACACTGTCCTACAAAAATATAACACATGGTGTCATTACTATGGAAAATGTCCGATTTATATTCAACTTATAAAAGTGTTGCAGTTAGTAAAAAAGTATTTGTAAAATTTTCTATATATTACCATGTAAATAAATGAAATAGGGCATATCCTAATCAAGAATACAAAAATCCTTGCCTGGGACTTTGTTACATCAATTTCTATTTTACGCAAATTCATATTTTTCAGCAATATGGGAAGGATTTTTATATTTCTGGTCAGGCTATATAAATATTTATTGTTAAAATTTGTTTTTTTTTTGTTATTGTTACACGAGAAACTTGTTTTAAATGTTATTGTAAAACTATGTAAAAATCGTCTACGAATATGGAAATTTGTATAGGAATTTGGTGAAAAAAATGCAAATATTTATCTGTTTGGCGCTAGTCGTTTCCAATGACTTTCAATTATGTTGCGAAAAATAGCAATTAATATATCTGTGCTTGTATTGTAATATTTTAAGTACCACATAATGTTAGGTTTCATTGTATTATAACATTTTTTACGAATTACGAACAAAGTTTTTTTGTTTTTAAGTTAGCTTATAATTTACTATGTAAAGAAATACCTATAAGTTATTTTTAATGTAATAAAAGATTGTATACTAAATGTCTTTTTATTAATTTATACCTTTTGTCATTGCATGGAATTAACTTCTGGTTGCTACTCTATTTGGTACTGGTTTGCCTTATATTGACCTTCACTTGAGACCTAACAAGTGACCGGTAAATATTGAAAGAAATGACGAATCAAAAACTGTCCAACCGAGTTGAACCTTGCAAGTAATCGGTTTATAGCTAGAAAATCATCCTGATTGGCGATTTTTGTATAGCTCGTTTATCCGAATGTATGTAATCTAATGGACTGGGATTAAATAAAAAATAACGTCATACTGTTTACTTTTCGAGGGAATCGAGTTTGCTGTTTTCAATAAAAGCCTGGTATTCAAAAAACCTTAATAAAAAGTCTTGTTTCGTGCAAAATAAATTTTAATTGTACTATGATTTAACCACATGTACTGTTATCACAGTTTTTTTTTAATATCACAATTACACATGACAGCATATTCCATAAACGAAATTATGACCGTTACAATATTACAAGCGTTATTAGTACTGCTTATCAAAACATTGAGTCATTTATACAAGCAAATGCAACAAAATCATTGTAAATATTAGTAAATAATCTATTAAAATATAATAAAATGTTATATTATAATATACACAACACAAACGAATATCGCTTATAAATATTTTTGTCCCAAAATTAAATTTTTGCAGTTATCAATTTATTAAAAAATACATTTATGCAATTCGATATAATTAAAATAGACAGGCTTTGATCTACTTGAAATGTTCGCATATAAATAAGTCACCACCATTCCAGAACATTTTTTGTTGTATGTATAGTTCTTTTCATATATCTCGGCGGCTTAAGAACATGGACGCACCCGGTGTCTAGCATACATACTTAAAATTGTGTGAAACCGACTTGTATGAAGTTGAGAGTTAACCGCCAAGATATATCAAAACTAGTGAAATATAACATGTTATCACACTTTTTAAATTAGTTTCTGTACTCGCACATTTAAACATATATATAAAAAAATCAAAATGTCATAGTTTAAATATGTACATTTGTCCTGTTAGATTAAATTTTGTTTTATAAAATATTTAAAAAACCACGAATTTGCCTAAAGTCTTGCTAAATTTATATCTGCATCTAATTTTTCTTGCATTGTTAAATTTATGTATAATGTATTATCTGCCCTAATAAAAATTACAAAGTGAGTTATCACATAATTATTGCTTTTTATTAAAACATTATATGATTTCTAAACTCTAACTTATGTTAATGTACTGTACAAGATATGAAAATACTTTCTTTAAAGGACTTCCTACAGTCGACAATATGCCAAATAAAAGGTTGGGTTTGTGCCGTGGATCTAAAGTCTTCATAGTAAACTATGTTTTGTTCGATAATCATTATTTAAAAATCTTAATGTAAGCGTAATTTCCTCATCAACGATGGCAGAAATGTCGGTGCTGGTGATCTGTTCTTGACTGATTCCGTGATATAAGGCCCCGGTTTCGTCATCAGCACCGTGTGCAGTGTGGGCAGGGCTCCGATGGCACAGGCAAGCTCTGGAGACATATATCTGCAGCCTTGCACATCCAGGAACTTGAGCTTCTCACAATGCGTCCGGATAGCCTCTAATGATCTGTCAGTGAGTTGGTTGCAACCCTGAAAGTTTATTAACACAACACTGAATTTATTTGAGTTTTTAAAAAGAATACAATTTTTTAAGAAGACCTATGATGGGGTACAGGTGGTCAATTCATTGTTTCAACAGACATTGTATTTCAATATTAGGTTATCATTAAAATAAATTATACAAAAATACTAAACACTTAACATCCAAATAATGCTTTTAGTTTATGCTTTGAATATATTTATTGCAAGGTCTCACATGTCCCAAATTATTATGACTATTTCAATATTTAAAAATAAAAAATGTCTTACCCGTAATTCAAGTGTCTGTAATCTTCGTAATTCTTTTACGATTTCAGTTACTGCATCATCCTTTAAATTATAGCAATCAGTTAAATTGAAATATTCAATACTCGGGCAGTTTCTTACTAAGTGTCCTATGCCTTCGTGAGTTATCTGTTGACATCTACTGAAATTAAGATTTGCTAACTCTTTGAAGGTAAATGCATATGTCAAGCTAACATCAGTTATTCTGTTACAACCGCTCATATCCAGTTCTTTTAAATGTTTCAATCGTGCCAAAGAGTATCCCGTAAATGAGTCCTGTGTTATATTTTCACACATTCTCATTACATTCTTCTTTCTATTCGCATCTCGTACTATTTCCTCTTCAGCTCTCGAGCCTAAATGTATTTTCTGATGCGTGGGAGCTTCATCATAATTGGACCTTATCAGTGAATCATCATCACCATCTTGTTGTAACTTGCCCATTCCAGTCAAACCTGCATCTGACACTTTATCACAATGACTTATTTTCAAAGTGTGTAAGAAACCTTGGTTTTTAAATACAACCTGTATAGATGTATCTGTCACAGCATTAAAACAATAACTCAAGTCTAATGAACGCAAATTAGGCAACTTCTCCGATAACATTATAACGCCAGTTTGGTCTAAGTTTAACGAATGTATATCCAAATCTTCTAAAACTGTGTTCTCTTCAGCACATATACCATTTTTTAGTCCTTCTTTTGTAATCAATTCACACTGCGAAGTGTTTAATACTCTTAACTTTGTTAATTTATGAAGTTCTGATATACCTAAGTCAGTAACAGCTCTGCATCTTTGTATATTTAAATATTCTAGATTAATTAAATTGTTACATATGTGAACTAGAGATTGATCTGTTACTCTGGTGCATAACCCTATGTCTAGTTCTTTTAACATAATCTGATGTGTAGTAAGAGCCAGGATACCTGTATTAGTGAGCTGATCACAAGAATGTACTTCCAATGTATTTAATTCAAGGTTAACAACTTCTGATAAAGATTTTAAAGCAGCACCATCTATTAAAGTACTCGAGAACTGCAGCGTTTTTACACTCTGAGCATGAGAATGTATAAATTGTAACACAAAATAAAATGTTAAAACACTCTCTGATGGATTCTCAAATATATTAGTTCCGCTGGGATAAAATTTCTTCACTAAACCCAAATGGAATTGAAGAGAGCAACCTGATAAATTTAAATGTTCAAGTGCTGGAGCAGCCTTTACAAAACGGCTAAATAATGCATCTGTTAGGTATTGGTTGCCGGACAGGCTCAATGATCTCAAATTTTCTAGATTATTTACCAATAGGCCATCAGTTTTTCCCTCTAATAAACGACCTGACATAAAAAGATCTTTACAACTCTCTATGTTTAATGATTCTAAATTTGGACATTTCTGTAAAATATTCACAAACACCTTCTCACACATATCACAATTTTTAAAAGTCAAGCTTTTAATATTTTCTCCCGTTCTTTCCCAGAATCCATTTAATTTATTTGATATTTCAACCTCATTGAATAAGTAATTGCTGTAAACTGTCGCTGAATTCTCAAAGATGCTTAGATTAGAGGATTCTTCATCACTGTTTATAGATTTGTATAAAACAACTACTTTATTCTTTAAGAAGCAATAAGCATTAGCTGCTGAATACCAGGAGCGGCATGTCTCACTTGCAGATTTCCTGTCCGACTTTGGTAGGTATTTGAAAAGATAAACTAACACCTGTGAAATACAAAAAAATAAGTTTTCATCATTATTTTGAGAATGCAGGGCCATAGCAATAAAAAAATAACCATTTCCAATTTTTCAACTTGTAAAGATAACTTATGAAAATTATGCAATACTCATATTGTATATTAATATTTAGACCAGACCAGCATATGTAATGAAGTATATTTTTATAAACAAGCAAAAATCATACATTTACAGAATTTATATAGAAAGCCAAACAATGGTCATATCTTTTCAGTTACGAGAGCAAAATGCCTATGAGGAAGATAGCAATCACGTGAAAAAATGATATAAAAGTCAGACAAAGAAACCTTACGATTAATTAATGATTAAATTAGTCTACTTACTTCGAATGGTAATTCCATGATCGAATTTTAAAAAGGCACAATCTCTGTATTTGAAGTGTATAGCAACTTTACATTATTCAATTGAAAATTTAGACCAGATTTATTTAATTATTTAAGTTCAATGGCAAAATTTGAAGTCTATGGCCAAACATATGACATTTTGCTAATTTGACAAACATGTGAGTGACCTTGAATTTGTCTTATGATTTTGAAGTTTGTAAACAGATTACGTAAATTACGTTTCGTTATAAGCTTTTTCTTTTTAAGTACAATGGCAAATTAAGAGCACCGTTCATAAATCATTATTATAAAAATACGGACAAACCATATAATTACTAAATCGTTTTCTTTAGTAAAAATTAGCTTTCGCCCACGACTCCGACCGTGGAAGTAAAAAAAAATCGAGAGAGGTAATTTATTAAGATTTGTAGTAAATTTTATCGAGATCCGTTCAACAGTTTAGGCTACAAATCCACACTCTAAATCTATTCAACCATCCATCCATCCATCCATTTAAACTTTTGCATTTATAATATTGAGTTAGATGTCATAGTAATTTGGCATGAAGCAATCGGCGAAACTACAAATGGAAGAAATGTGAATGCGAATGCGGCGCGACCAAAACGCAAACGCAAACGCAACTCGCGGCGCTGTGAGCACGTGTCGACATACGTGCTCACCGCGCCGATTAACGCTATGAATGCAACTTTGCTTGAAATTGATACCAAGCCTTTGGCATCGGTAATATAACTTCTCATTTCATAAAGATTTTTAATATTTTATAATAAAATTCTTAGAAACGTTTTTGTGTTACAGCGTTCGTTATAGACTATCGTCATAGAACGCATTTAAATAACACTAATTGTAATTGTTAAATAAAAAAAAGATTGTTTGGAATACGAATAAAAAAATAGTTAAACCGTTTCTTTCATTTTGGGAGACCGATATAGTTATATTAAAAACGTATTTACGTGAAAAGAAGCTACCCGAGACAGTTACGTAAAAATAAGAATTTTTTATTCAATCTTCCGGCTTGCGGAAAGAAATAAAACTCCAACACAGAAAAAATATGTACATTAGGAAATCACAAGACCCATTACGTTCTTAGAAGATCCTATATGACGATCAAAATTGTACACCACATGATAGATAACATAGTTATAGTATGAAAATAAAAGCTATTTGTAAACACGTTTTGTTGTGTTGACAGTGTGTACTCAGCCTAGCACGCATCTTGCAAGAAGTAAATTGGAGGCATCACGGTCTTACGCAGGAGTTTGCGCGGTTACAATATTGTTTGGTGCCACTTGTTGGGCGCCAGGAACCTCAGTAAGCGCGGGGTGCGCTCACCGACCGCCCTGCTATCCCGCGCTACACACGATTCCCGCCATCATACTTTTACGATAACTTACGCGTTATCCGTCAATGTTTTGTGTTGTGATAAACGCGATGTAAACAATTCGACAATTAACATGTGATTGGATGGCTCAGTGTATCACGGAAGCATGTCACGAAGAAAACAAGCAAAACCAAGATCACTGAAACGTAAGTTATTGTTGCATGCAAATAGTTAGTTCTATAAAAAGATATATTACTAATATGATTCTTATTGGAATAGTAGTTACATATTTTAATTAATTCGCGAATAAAGATATTTCTTTTATTAGTTGTTAGTACAGCTTTAGAATGTGGATTATGCTTATTGTTTATTTAGTTAAATAAGTAACAGACGCAACTCCTAAGCAACTGTATCTTTAATAATACACATGTAAATATTATAATTAAAACTAAAATGTATTTACTTACTAGAAAAATGTTTAATTCTATAATCGGTTGCGTTGAATGACTTAAAGTTACATTTACTTAAGAATAACTTATTGGTAATTAATGACACTACTCGGATCATTGTGTACTTAAATTTAACTGTATTTGGTAATGGGTACAAAATATATTTATTTTATCATTTGAGTTCACTGTAACAGTTAATTTCACTCATTCTCCGTATTGTCGTGAAAAAATGACTGTTACTTTTAAACTACCCAAGGGTTTAATCGGTATTTCCTTTATTTAATTTAATTTTCATTAACTTGATAAATAATTTTACCATCAACATGCAAGCCGCAAATATAAACAGCTTATTATTTTTATATATTATATTATTGACAGGTACAATTTAAATTCAAAGTTGAAGGAAGAAAAATAATATACCGTTTTTATAACTCCAGTAACTTTTATGAAATGCCAACATAAAAGCTTGCATATGATCATTGTATTTGAGATTTTGAAGTTAGATTCTAAGAAATATTTATAAAGTAGGTAAAAGCTTAGATGTTGTACAGAATAATTTCCTAGGAAGTCTTGTAATGTTATGAAGCGGCAGCTTATGAACGATTATACCAGTCCAATAAGCTACAACTCGTATTATTGTAGTTTTTATACATTTTCCATAATAATTTTTATATTCCATGCTTGGAAAACACTTATTTAACTTCACTGTTAATTATTAAGTTTTACCTATGAAAAAATATTCGATTTAATAAACATATTACTGTTTTTCAAAGTGATGAAGATCTACGGTCTATTGTTACAAAGAGCCTTTAAAGCTTTTTAGTAGGTTAATTTTAATTTTAACATGGTGCCCGTGTACCCACAATTTTATTTGATACTAGTTTACGGCCGCGACTCCGTCCGCGTGGAATTAAGAAAAACAAAAGTAAGTAGCTTATGTATTCTACTAGACTATCCTCTACATCTACACCACTTCAATATTCGTTTAGCCGTTTAAGCTGCAAACTCTAACAATCAACTATCTATCCATCTAAACTTTGGCATTTCTAACATTAGTAAGAAGGAAGATTCCTTTCCCAAATGTTGGCAGAAATAATTTACATAACGAAATAATCCTACTAAAACCGATTACATCTCACACTACAAAGACCACGATTGAACGGTATATGTGTGTAGCTTGCAATAGCGTCGTAGTTTTAGCTTTGCTGTGTAATTAATAGTGTGACGTGGGCGCGGGAGCCGCGTCGTGCGTGATGGACGCGCTGCGACGGCCGGCTGCCAGCCTGCTGCGGCCGCGGCTGCATAATATCAGTGCTCCGTCAGTGCCAATGCCCGCCTAAGCCGGCCTAATGTCCACCAATGTTTAGCCTAACTCATTTGTTTCAAACCACCAGTTTTAGACAACGTACGCTTTTATGGGATAGAACAAAGTGGATCGTTAGATTGGTACCTGGATTAACACCCCTTGAAATCTGAACGATGAAATGTCAATTTATTTGGATAAATCTTTCTTAAACACGCAAATAGTAATTGCAGTACGCGCTACAAAAACTTTTTCATAGTGTTCATTACGTTTAAAGAATACTACTGTTTAAGTCTGACTCAAGACTTATGGTCTTCTAATTACTTAAATTGATTATCAGACGTAAAAGTCAATCTATCATCATCATCATCACCAGCTCACTATACGTCCCCACCGAGGGGCTCGGATCCTACCATAATAAGGGGTGTCTAGGCCATAGTCAACCATGCTGGCCAAGTACGGGTTGGTTGACTTCACACATATCTTTGAATTTCTTGGCCGATATGTGCAGGTTGCATCACGATGTTTCCCTTCACCGTAAGAATAGTCAATATTCATAGTTAATCTATACTTATATTGCAAAGAGGAAAAAAATTGTATTTTTGCATGTATCGAAATAACTCAAAAACTACTGTGTCGATTTTAAAAATTCTTTTACCATTAAAAAGCTGCGCTATCACGGAGTAACATTGGCTATTATTTAATTTCACGTGAACGAAGTCGCGGGCAACAGCTAGTAACTAATTAAATAGAGACAAGAATTGTTGTCCATTTATTTTTTATCTATCTACCAATTAACGATTGACTTCAAGAAAATAATATACAGCTTTAATACAGTTACCAGATGTTTGTGGCTGAACGGGTGCGATGTAATGTTGTTAACTTAAGATATCGATCCCGCACTCCAGTACTTCCGTAATGCGTCCCGCGGGGAGAGGCGATATGACTCTCAGGGCAATCGCGGGTACCTAATGCTGTGCTACCTCGCGAACTACCTACGTCTAGAAGCTAGTCATATGGGCTCTGAACAGAAGTGGGGGTTTCCACACTCCTTGTTGTGGTATTATATACGTTAACCTCGGTAAAAAAGCTGTTCTTCGGCTCGGAAAAGTAGCAATAGAGAGGCCTTTTAATACTATTGCAAGTTCAATTCCTACCAAGTACTGTCCTAACAGTCTATAGAATACGATTATTTTACTATTTTTGAGATATCAGACAACCATTCGCTAGTTAGCGACCTTGTGTTATGAAAAATATAAGCTATCAAATAATTTTTTCTATTGTTTGATTTAAGTAATTTCATCGCATATTTTCAGGAATTGGTAGATCTGAGTGCGAGCCGTGAGCCTCCGCTCACAGGGGTCCAATAACACGTCAATTTAAGCCGCCATCCCTCATGTTGGCGAATTAAAATTTCACATACAATGAAAATGTTAATCCTCCGCCGTCCCAAGCAGACTATAAAAACAAATTGCCGTGTCTTGAATTGTTTTTTACCTTACACTTGACGCCTGAGAATAATTAAACTTAATGCGGCTTAAACCATATTTCACGTGAAGGTTATACGAGCGAGTGAGGCTAAAGGCAGCGGAGCGCAAAACGCTAATATTATCTTAATTTTTCACAAATATTTCACGCAACATTTAAGCTCCGCACGGACATTCGTAAGCTCTTTGAAAAGGGTCAATTCGTACTGGCTTTATTTATCAACTTTTTCACTTAACGTGTCCGTCTGGTATTATATCGAGTAAGTCTTTTTGATGTATTCTTTATGTGCTTATATAATGTTGCAGTTGTAAATAGCTGAAGGGAGGCTTGTGACAGGGGAGGGTGAGCGTAAGGGTTAAATCAATGAACAATAGACGGGCAGGTAATTATATTATTCGGCAGATCCTGACGGGCTGACTTGTTACGTGAGACGATAAGAAGTTGATGGGTATGCGGGGCGCGGGGAAGGGAGACAGGAGAGCGGGGCAGGGAGGGACGCGGGGTGCTGCGCGTCCATAAAACTTGTAGAGGCCCCGCAGAGAGTCGCCGGGAAATTTCCCCAGGGCGGCGCGCACCCCCGCCCCGCGCCCGCGCACCCCCAGGCCCC